ATTTGCTTGATCTTCATTTGTTCTTGCAGCTTGTTCTGAATATTTAAAAGCGTGATCCGCGCTGCTAACCCTGACAACCATTACAGGCAGCCAAGCAAACAGACATTTTTACAAGCGGTGGTATACATTGCTAGTGACGTTCAAGCTACGAGGATACATTTATCATCAGTTCAGTTCAGATGGGGACTGGAACGATAGGAGAAAACCCGTGAGTGTTCCATCTTGAGTGGATGGTTCAGCCAGGAATTGATGAAGTGCTCAGTTATTGATGGATCTAAAACGGAAACACCCGTATCGCACCCTGGTCAACCAGTTAATGCCCACGTTTCCTGCCCTAGCAGTCCCTGCTTTGGCAGTCAAGTGAAATAAGCAAAGGATAGGAAGAGAAATCGAAGGTACAGAATAGGGAAGTGCACTTAAATAAGAAACCAATACCAATACGTGAAGAAAAGTAGAGAAAAGAAAATCGAAATACGAAGATGCGAGTTACCCAGGAAAATGGAAATGTTTCGTGTTGCCACCCAAGAGCGTCAAGTTGCCGAAGGCAGTGAGATCCTGAAACATCGTTGGAAGTTGACATTGGCTCCACAATGCGCGCTTACAATGCACTTACGGTGCTTGCAACAACACACTATCCATGCAGCGCCTATAATGAGGCCCAAGTGTCTGTCATGTCCAGGGTGGATTTAAACAGCAACTTCTTAACTTGGTTTCAAACCACATGCTCAGTAGCGTACTCCTGTGTTATCGATTGACAGGGGCGATATTTAATCTCTTAAACTGGAGTCACCTTTGTATGGCATCGTTATGAACACAATATTTCGTAGGGACGTCTGGCACACGTTCGCTCCCGGTTTTCGCGTTACCGTCGGAGTGTTTAATGAGATGTTCTCCCGACTTCCATTTGCGCGTACTGCAGTGGAGAACCGTTGTAACTCACATGTAATCGCTTCCTCTGAGCATAGTGGCTAGCTATCGCAAAGATAATACGAACCGGAGCTCATTTGTAATTCACATGATATTAAATGTCAAACATGGGGTAGTGTACCATTTAGGTGTCTTTTAAGCGAACAATCAAAATTCGAAGGAGTTGTAAGATTCGTTCACAACGGTGAATTAGATTGCGGAGTAACAGTTGCTTAGCGCCAACAATAATCGTTCTGCCTGCTCAGCAGTGTGTACGACGACTAAAGTGTCATCCATGTAGCGGCTAAATGAATGCACGTGGTGCATATTATATCCTGATGATCACTGTATGCAATATGTCCAATACGCTTGGTGTATGTAAATGGCCAACAAAAATAAGCGGAATAGCTGAATTCAAATTATCCTGTCGAAGAGTTGTTCG